AAACTAGAAAGTTGTCTCACACTAATCATCAAGAGGCTAAAGACTTCCGATGTGCATCTATAAATCTCCCAAAAGATTTTAGATCAACTCATCTAGAAGGGAAAAGTTTTTAAAGTTGAAAAAGTTTTAAAAGTCTATTCATCCCCCCTCTAGACTTTTACCTCTATCCGGGACCATCAGTAATCTTGGTACCAGATACACCAACATGGCAAATGGGGCTAGAGATCCGGGGGTCCATGACCTTATCAACCTTAACAACTCTGGTGCTAGGCCTTACAGAAAGCTCACTGGATTCTATTGCAACATATCCAAGACTAGAAACGGGGGAAAGCATTTGATCAACATCAACAGCCTTTAGAGAAGTTTGCATTTTCATAAGACCATTGAGTCTAAACTAAAAATGCTTAATTTCTCTTATTCTATCAAGAAGAGAAACATTTTCAGCTTCAAGTTCATCCCTTTCCTTAATTAAGAGATTGATTTTTACCTCAATCTCTTTTCTTAAGTTAGAGATTTCAACTTTTAGCTTACTGTTTTCTTCTTTGACTAAAGAATAAGTGGTTTGGATAGTTCTAAACTCTTCCTATAATGATGAGATTGCATCATCATTTAAAGCTTAGCCTACCGAAGAAAAACAAGAGTTAGAAGAGGAGGTTACCTCATCATCAGATTGGGCCATGAGGCATAGGTCTTCTGTTTCAGCATCTAGGCAACAGAAGGCCTCATCTGAGTCAGAGTCAGAACTGGATTCTGTCTCATAAAGGGGGTCTTTCTCGAACTGTTCTGTGACAAGTGCTTTCCTTCTTCTAGAGTTATCTTCATACTTCTTTTCTCCATCTTGTCCTTATCTCTTGGACACTCTGGGGTGTGGACAGTTTGCCTTGAAATGTCCAGGTTGCCTACAGTTGTAGCAGAGAAGCTCTCCACTACTGTCTGAAGACTTGGTGTTCTAGAATGGTTTTCTGCTGGTAGATGGACTCCTTCCATCTTTTGGTTTCTTCATGAATTTCTTGAACCTTCTGGCAAAAGCAGCCATATATTCGTCAGACAATAATATAGAGGGATCAAAATCATTTACCTTAGATGTACTGGCAGTGAGAGCTGTAATAGTCCTCTCTTCTGGTATATCTTCATTTTCTCAATCATCTCGAACTCATGAGCTTTGAGGTCTGAGATGAGCTTATCACTAGGATAGGTCTTCACATCCTTGCTTGCTTGAACCGCAACCACCTTCATCTTCCATGCTGAGGGTAGACCTCTCAACACTTTGAGGTTGATCTCCTTGGTGGTGAGTTCCTTGCCAAGTTTAGAAATCTCTCCAGTGAGAGTAAGGAGTCTGTCATACATCTTGGAGATGCTTTCACCAGGGAGAAGTTTGAAATCATCAAACTTCTTGTTGGCTATTGTCAGCTTGTTGTCCTTTTCTTGCTCATCACCAGCTCCAATGAGCTCAAGAGTATCCCAAATTTCTTTGGCAGTTTTGCACTTCTTGATCCTATTGAAGTATCTATCATCAATGGACTTGTAGAAAATGTCCTTTGCTATGTTGTCAAGATTGTATTTTTTTCTTTCTTAAGTGGTCCACTCAGATTTGGCTTTGTTGATCATCTGTGGTCTTGTGTTGTCAATGGCATGCTCAGGATTCACCTTCTGGAAGTTGGTGAATGGCCTTAAGTACTTCCCACATCTCATCATGAAGAGCACAAAGATGTGCCTTCATTCGGATCCTCTAGTCATCAAACTTAAGATCTGAAAACATAAGGTTCTTGGAAAGAGAGTGATCCATAATGGGAGATTAAACAGAGGCAAAAAGAAAACAAGTGGATCTTTGTTCAGCAAGTAACCTAAAAGATTACAAGAACAAGGAGGCTCTGATACCACTTGTTGGTCCCGGTTATACTGGGTACAGTCTAGGGGGGGGGGGGTGAATAGACTGTACTGGTTTTTAACCTTTTCAAGGTAAGTACCAGATTTTTATCAGAATGGCCTGTTCGGTTGGCAGAACAGACTGGCAGCGGATGGTATTCTGGTAGGGGTTCTGTCCGGTCAGCCTCAGAGAAGCAAAGGCAATAGGCATTCTGTTTACTCACAGGATGGGTTCTGCTGAACACAGAGACCAAGTTTCTGGAGTTAAACAGTTAAAAGTAAATGCGAGAAATAAATGCAGTAAGTAAATGATACCAGAGATTTTTATAGTGGTTCAAGGAGCAATTCGTTCCTCTAATCCACTGTTCCACTAAGCTTGTAAAATCGACGGTTTACAACGCCTTAGTCCTAGAACTTAAGAAGCTCTCCACGTCTTCTTCAAGTCTACATGTCCCCTGGGATGCACTGTCTGGCTTCCTTTAAGACTGGTCCTTTCACTGAGCTTCCTTGAAGTATTCCCACTTCACTACTCCAGTTACTTAGACGTCCTTCTCGTTAGAGAAGAGTTCTTGTAAGAACAAGGGTTTTCCCACTTGCTTCGTCACAAAAGATATGTTGATGAAGTGCTTGAAGTGTTGAAGAACAAGGAACTTTGCTCTTTGTTGGAAAATGAAGATAGGAAAATATTATCTTTCCAACTGAAGCTTTTCTTGTTTGAGATGATGAAGTTCTGGTCTCAAGAAAGCTTGTGAGTTTGAATTTTTGTCCGAGTAAATGTTGAGCAAAAGTTGTGCGAAGTTGTCCGGTTGTTCTTCGTGTAGTATCTTTTATAATGGGGTTGTCTTCCCATTGGAGGAGGAGGACAACTGCATTAAATGCGTGAACAATTGACTTGACCAGTAAGACCCGGTAAAGTTGGCGAGTTGCTATTTTGGGATAAGGATATCATGAAATGTCGGCCAATCATCAACTTTTACTCTTCAGCGTACGGGGTGCATTAAATGAGCATTTAATGTGCGTACTATAGCTTTTCCGTTGAAGTCTTCTAGCCGTTGAAGGAATCTTTCGTTGGTTTCACCGGCTGAGGTAAATTCATGGAAATTCTCTAAGTGTCAGGCCTTCTGGTATCTTTAGCAGAGAATTATCTAGAAAGGGTCTCGAGCACTTCTGTTGGGATAAAAGCTACCAGAGGGTCGCTAGTCCTTCTGTCAAGGTAGGAGCAAACAGAAGGTCTTGACAGCTTCTGTTCTAGTGAAGTCCAACAGAGAACCAGGAGGTCCTCTGTCCACGAAGTAACAGAGAGCCAAATGGTCTTCTGTCTGGACAAAGTCTAACAAGCACACATAAGGTCTTCTGTCATGAGGTCTTCTGTCAGTCGACTATACTAAGAAAACTTTACACATAGAAAAATTCTAATACAAATTTCTAAAGAGGGATACTCTAAAATCCTAATAAATATAGCATCATCAATGTCTAATTACATTTATTCCCTACATGTGTGTTTTTAAAGGAAATCGCCAAACTCTTTTAACTTAAAGAAACCATAGCTTTTATAACAAGCACACCCTCCAAAGTATCTCTCCTTCCAGACTCGTAAGAACCATAAGACTCCATCACTCTCTGATTAGACATACAAAGGTTCACCCATGCTTGAGCAACACTTTTCGCTGAACATGCGAGATATTTGAAGCAATTATTGACATTAAAAGCCACATTACTTCTTCCCAAACAAATAAACAAACTTATCAACCCACATAAAACCCAACCACAAGATATGTTTTTTGAAAGCAAAACTAAGCACGACATGGAAAAGACTAACATTGAATAGAAAACAATAGTAAGTAATTAATAGGATAAATTTCTCGAACCTTCATCTTCCACCCATCTTTTCGTCCAATCCCCAACATCACGTTCATTCCACGACGGTGGTTCAAGAGGAGGTTGGGTTACCAATACTATCGTTTCAACATTCTATCTCTTGGTTCACCTTCCTCCATGGATAGAACATTCTTGCCTTGAGTTTCAATCGACGCTTCACTGTCGGCCAAAACCAGACCATCGCCAACCCTGCCTCGCATCGATAGTCTACTGATCATCTTCCAATTGAGAATATCCCAAACCACTCGCCGACTTTCTATGCGGCACCCAAACCCTAGTACAAGGTTGAGCTCACTTCTGCGGTTCTTTTTTTTGAAAGGAAAAATCGCTTATATTAGTATCATTAGGATTCAGATCGTTACAACAAACTCAAAGATACCAACACTGACAACAATTATCCGTAACCAACTAGCACTATCAATCCTACAACTAGACTTAAAAACGATCACCCCTGATAGAGCAATACGAATCGCTAACCACCAAACATGTGTGTCACATCAATCACAGGTCATATAGATCCGTCTAATGACATAATATATAGTAGAACTATCAATCATTATTGTTGACCTAGAACTAAAGACATCAATTAAAAATAGAGCAACATAAACAAACATAGCGCGAGAATAAGACCATAAAAACAAAATAACTGATAAATACTGCAAGCTCCTTCCTGCTGATTTTCTTGAGATATCATCTTTTGAACCTTGGCCCCTCGATCGCTCCAAGGCGGCGGTTGAGGAGGGGACCGCCGATCTGCCCACTTCCTTGCTCAGCCCTTCACCGCTCTCCGTCTACTCGTCGCCCGTGCTGCCTCCACTGCCGCCACCTGCCTCCACCCATGTTGAACCACCAAAAACCAACCCTTCGACCTCCTACTCAATTGCTGGAATAGGACAATGATGCTTTAGATCATCCAAAGAAGCCATTGTTATCCCATCTTGAACTGCACTCGATCAAAATGCAAAAGAAATTTTGATTCGCAAAAATGCGGCATTGCACCTCTCTCGACACGTGAGAGAAAAACCTAGAACTCGACAAGCGAGAGAAAAATCTCCTTAATACTACAACACATGTTAGACGAATACTTGAACGACAGATCCAGATCCTCTCTCTCTAACATTAATTTCTTCGGTTCTTAATTTAAAAAATGTGTTAAAGCTCACAATTTTTTTCTTTTTTGTTCTTTTCTAAAAAACAAAATAAAAATTGTTTTTATTTTGAAAATAGAGGAAATGAGAAAAGCAATGTCCATTGTCCAACTCTTAAAGCACCGTAGTTCGTATTTTTTAGAACTATAGATTCTGATTCTGGCTGAAGAAAAACAAAATCAAAATCGGGATCAAGTCAAACACCTCTTGAACGCTTCAAGACTCGTACGGTTTCCGATTCCCGTTTTTAGTTTTTGCTGGTTCAGTTGGAAGTGTATCTAATCTTGGTAGGAGTATTCGCCATTGATAAAGCTGGAAATTCGGCGAGGTGTATGCATATGATGCATTTCGGTGCATTTAGAACTCGGGTAAGGAGTTGGCTTCGCGACTATGACAGAATTCAATCCGCCGCTGTGATTCTGATCTACCTTCAGATTGCCTGCGCGCTGATCGGGTCTCTTGGAGCCTTCTACAGTGGTGTTTTGTTCGTCCATCTTGGGATTTCGTTGTTCGCCCTTGTCGCCATCGAAAGCAGCAGCCAGAGCCTCGGCAGAACGTACGCCGTCCTCCTCCTCTCCGCCGTCTTGCTCGATGTCCTCTGGTTTATCCTCTTCTCCCCCGAAATCTGGTACCCTACATTCCATTTCGTAGTTGTCATTTATAATGGATATTAAACAGAATTTTCTTTAATTCGGAGAAGTTGTAATTGTAAAATAGAGGGCGTAGTTAAGTAGTCACTTTCAATATCAGTAAAGATATTATATTACAATGCATGTTGAAATTATAGGTGGGAAAGATAGTAGTCCGCCCACATAATGAGACACACGATTTTATGGTGTATTAGAATAGTGGATAAATCCTAAGACATTATTTGGCTCAACTTGCCAGGAAGACAGGAACTACTTATTCTTAGTGTTCCTTATGAATCTTTACTATAAATTCATTAGACTGTGTCATAAATCTTTAGTGATGCTTGTGAATTTTCACTTTTCAAATTAAAAAAAGAAAGTCTACTTCAATTATTTAAAGAGAAAATGTAGAATTTGTACTGAGCATTTGAATATTCCATTTTCCTTGCAAGCAGGAACATTTCGTCCAAAAGTTATGGAGCCTCTGTCATCTTCTCAGTGAAACTTAGTATGTATATGCAAATAATTGGTTTTTGTGTAAGGTTGTCATCATCAATATTGTGGATTCAGATATACAGGCTTGGACCTTCTTATGTAGACCTTCCAGTTCCTCATGAAACAGATACTGATTTGCAAAATAGTTTTCTCAGTCCTGTAAATCCTTCTATTGCACGACCTCATTCCGGTTCTGATGATGCTTTGGGTGGATCTGTATATGACCCTGCATATTATTTCTCTTTGATAGAAGATGGTAAAGATGAGAATTATTTGTCTGTGGTATGCAACTCTCTCTTCTACCCAGTACCCACTTTGAACAACTTGACTGTTCCGCTGTTCTTTTTAATGCTTTTGTTGCTTTTGAGATAAATATGAATATTCATCTTCATTAACAAAACAATAAGTTGCTCTGTATATTCATTGTATACATGGTAAAGTGGATAAATCATCTAAAAATTTGAAAAAGAGAGACATTTTGAGAATCTGAGTTAAACTTAACCTCACCAAATTTGTGATTGGAAACAATTAAGATGTAACATCAGAGTTTTTATACACTAAACTACTACATATGCTTAACCATTTCTATATCACTTCAATATGTTATGTTTATGCATCAAATCATTGATGGATTTTTTTTTTGAAATTGTGTAGTATCTTTGCCCCCAATAGGGGTTTGTTTGTTATGAAATTCCATCTAAGAAGGTACACTTGATTGTTTAAAACGAACGGGGATATGCAACAGCGGAAAACCAGAAAGTTTATTTTGCTTTACTTTTTTGAAAGTAATATATATGAATCATATCATATGATACTATCGTTATAGTACTGACTAGAGAAAGAACTACTGCCTTTGCGCACTTTCATTTTTCTGCCTGCCTTCTAAGTAATGATCTGTTTGCATGCATAAAGTGGAAACCATATGGGTTTGATGTTGAAAATGTTATGCTCCTTTTTTACTGAAAACTATTGAAAAGCTATATGTTCATGTGTATACACATGGGATTAGATAGCTTCATTCTAATAATGTGATATTTTTTCATCATTACTACTTTTCAATTTACACCTAAATGCCAATATCCAACTATGGTAGATCTGGAGACATGAAACTGATAAAAGTACCGTTGGTTCATTATTAAATATTAACTGACATTTTTACAGGTGGAGTACTGACTCCTTTAGGGGCTACTATGTAATGAAACTTTAATGAGTTGAGTTAGTTGTAACAGACTTATAGTCACGTTTCATTACAACATACAAGAATGTTATTATAAAATTAAAATACGCATATGTGTCTGTTCCTCAACCCATATATTCATTTCCAATTACTTTTCTGTGCACAACCCATATATTTATTTTCTGTTGAGAAATTGACCCATTAGCAAAAGTAAAACCATACTACATTAAACCTTTTAACATTAAAAAACCCTTGCATTTCAGCAATGCTTTTTGGTAGCTAATGAAACATGACTTAATTCTTTTGTGAAATATACATCCTGTAAGCTCTTTTTAAATATATCAGGAAGAAGTACATCTTAAAAACATGACCCATTAGTAAATCCATACTATCAAAAACATTTACGCTTAAAAACCTCCGAAATTCAGCAATTCTTCAGTGGAAGCCGGTGAAGTGACCTTGGTTCTGTTTCATTCTCTTTGTTTCTCTCTTCATAGAAGGTTTTTCTACAAAATCTTTTTATCTCTGTCTATCGCTGTCTCTCAGTCTGTCTCTCACTATCTGTCAAGTACCTCTGTTCATTAATTTCCTTCTTCAAGGCCCCTGAAGGCCCTCTTGATTTGGCATTAAAATTCACTTGTATAGGCATTTTGAGATTAACATGAGGTGCCCTGGAAATATGTCGCTTCTCTCATTTCATATGAACCCTATCTCAAGTTCCTTAGATTTCTTCTTGGTAGCTTAATATGCATAGACTCTCCATGTTCCATATTCTCTATATCTAAATATTCTTACATATAATTTTGCCAGATAACTCTAATGTTCCTTGGAATTGCAGATGATCTTGCATTCTTGCCCTCAAATTTCTTGCATCTATCTTTTCTTGCCATAGGAAGAGCTCAGAACTTGCTTGTTTTTTCTGGAATGATGTATGTGGGAAGAGTTGTTTAGATGGGTAGCAGTACATTATAGACCCAAATGGAAAATGTCTAGGTCTCTTTATATCTAGTAAGTTGGTGAGTGGAGACGTGGAGTAGAGAATAAGGCTCAGAATTGGGGGGGGGGGGGGGGGGGGGGGGGGGCTGGCAGTTTGTATTTGGTATCTGAAAATTCATCAGTTATCTACTCATCTTCTATCTTTTTCCTAGAAGGTAGGGCCATGGAGATGTGTTAGGATGAATTTTGTTATCATGTTAGTTTGTATAACAAGCCATAAATCATAATTATCACCCAAGCATTATCATGTCTCTACAATTTGTGTCCGAAACTGACGTCCTGATGCTGCTTGTATATTTTCCGCAGATAGTTTTAATAATGATAATGTAGAGCAGAGCTGAAAGTACATTAATAATAGATTCTCTGAATTTTGATGAACTGTCGGTTCATTCAATATTTTGAATGCTGAAACATAGTCGAGAACAATGAATGACTATATAAATCACAATCAAGGGACAAAAGAAAAATCCAATTGCATATGCTGAATATGAAACTTGTGAGTTGTGATTAATTAGTTAGTTCATGTCAAATGTTCTTTATCTATGAGTATGATACTCAAAACCCTTATTGTTTGCTCCATTTTTGTAGTTGAATCAAAATCACGGCATGGGTATTGTTGGCTCAACCCCTTCACCTGAAAGAACCGCTTCACCGAAGCCTGTCAGTAACTCTGTTCAGGGTAAAGATGTAAGCTGCCAGGAATTTTATCATATTCCATAGTTATACTTTTTTTTTTATCTTCAACATCAGGAGTTCTACATTTCCAGTTGCTATTCAGTAACTTCTCTCTTTTTTATCTTCAATTTAATCTGGAATTTGCTTCATTTGCAGGAACTGACGGCTGTTAGGAATATGCTGCAACTTTGAACCTGGTTTTTTCCCCATGGAGGGTTCATTCTTTACTCATTTCTCGGCTGGTTCTTTTATGGTAGTGACAATGTACAGTGACTCTGCATATATGATTTGAAGAGATATATACTGATCATACAGATTATACTCATTGAAGCTTATAGAGAGTAGCAGAGAGTATTATTGCAGTGTTGAAAAAAAAACTAGGGTGAGGTTTGCAGAAGTATGATGAGGACATATAAATCACCTGGTTACCATCGCCGGAAAAGTGTTTAAAAAATTGATCAGAAAAAGTTGTCAATTTTTTTAAGGAGAAACTAGATGTCGGCGCCCCACCACTGGAATTTTGTTGTCTTGTTCTTTTGTAAAAAAATCACGAAAATTGGCTGGAAATAGTCGTCGGAAGTTGCTATTGATGGTCACATTGACATGCTCAACCGTTGCATACTTGCACTTATGGTAGCCAAATAAACAGAAGTGACATAATAAATTGGCAGTGTCATGCACAAATTTTCAATTTTATTATCTTTTTCCTCAACATTTTATCTATACAGGAATATAGTCATAGTTTTAAATCGTACTCTAATATAGTACGAGTAATATTTAAGGAATGACCTCGATAAAATTAAAGTAAATTTAGATAGAAAAAATTAAAATACATGAAAACGATAAGTACAATATGGACTAAAAATTAAATGTAAATATAAATTTAAGGAAAAAGGGTCAAATAGGTTCTCGAATTAACTTAAAAAGTGTAAATCATCCCTTATATAGGAGCTCTTATCGGCCGTCGTCATTTGGGGTGTTTCTTGGTGGAATTTTTTGATGAAATTTTTTGAGCATCTTTTTCATTAAGTCTAGTTTACCCATATCAAATTTCACATAAAAATTCAACCGAGAAGACTCAAATTATTTTTCGAGATGTACTGCGCTGTTTAACTGCGCAGTTATCTTCAAAAATTCATTCGACTGTCTTCTCGATTAAATTTTTAGCTGAAATTTGATATGAGTAAACTAGAATTAATGAAGAAGATGTTCAAACAATTTCATCAAAAAATTCCACCGGGAACCGCCCCAAATGGCGACAGCCGGACAAAGTCTCCTATATAAGGGGTGATTTGCACTTTTTTAGTTAGTTTGAGGGCCTATTTGACCATTTTCCCTAAATTTAAACAAAGAATCCATTTTTTACACTTCTTGAGTAAAGTCGCAAATGAAAACTAATTTTGTATATTTTGACACTTTATTTCCCTTTTTAAAATCCAAAGTAAGAAGCATAGGATATTTTTAGAATTAAATAAAACATACCTAGTAATTTTTTTATTGGTAGCTTTTTATGTGAACACTTTCAATTGAAATCAACATCAAGGAAAATGACTTTTATACACATTTTACCCACATCATTAGTTTATATGTGAACACTTTCCATTTAAGACTTTTGATCACAAACAATCATTGTAACTGAGGTTCCAGTTATTGAAATTTCAATATCGTTATCGACTTACCATACCATAACATTGAATAAGCGCTAATCGATATCCAAAATTTTGTTTAACCGCTAATTGGTTAACCAAAAATCATAGAAAAATAAGATGATTAATAAATGTCTAATTAAAGTAATAAAAATAAATTATTGTTTATTACAACCTAATGGTATATAAAAATTCACACAACGATGAAAAGGGTGGAGCAAAATGTAAAATTTCTAGTAAGATGTTGATTTTCAAACTATAATTTATATTTCCTCTCTCGAATAAATTATTAATGCTCTACCAAAACATATTCATCATTTTTTAAAAGATATTCATCCTATAAAATAGTATCAACTCAAAATTAGGTCAAACAAAAAAAATGGACAAGATTTCTTCTACCAACATATATCTTTTTACTTTCAATCTTTTATCATAAAAATATATTCATTTAACAATCTTCATAACACTATCTACCCGCGATTTTAGCTTTGATTGAATGTTGTAATGCTTTTTACTAAAAACAAAAGCAAATTATTTTAAAATTGTTGAGTTATATTATGAATGGAGAATAGTTAATGTTTCAGTTTTTTTATTAACCGACAAGAAGTGTTTTCTAATTAAAATTGTAACCATACTATGAACGGTATATTTCTATGGGTCAATTAACCGGAAAAATCACAGATTTTTTGGTTTTTGATTCCGGTTCTTATACGAGAAATGGTCCTAAATAGGAGCTTAACTTTTGATATGTAATTAAATAAGACCTTGACTTTTTAAACTCCTAAATAAGACTTACTTTCCCGTTTCTTCCAGATTTGCCCTTAGTCTTTTATTCCGTATTTTAAATACTCCGTGTCAACCAAGTTCCGGCTTTTCTTTTTTCCTATGGTCAAACACGATTGCACGATGGTGGCGAGCCAGAGACAATCCGGCGATGTGGCGGTGGTGGAAGGCTCTGGTTGCACCAGGTGATGCAGCGGCGGGGTTGGAAAACTGAACCCCAACAACACACTAATCTCATGTGGGAGTAGCACGACCTGCGTTTCAAACCTTATCAAGCTTACTTCACTTGCGGAGAAGGCCCATATATATATCGCTGTTACCTAACGGCCTAAGTAAAGATGGATATGCTGCTATATTATATTATGGGCAATTTTCCAGATCTACACTGTGCTTTCTATCCAATCCTCTTACATCGGTAGTGGATAAAGTCATTGTTAATATTGATATCTAATTATCTGGAATAAACAATGGCTAAAAATTGATAGGATATATGAATATATGATAATTCTCCATCTTTCACGCTATTTTCAATGTCCATTGTTATTATTTCATATTGTGATATATTTTTGACATGATAAAATTTCTCTAAATTGTGTCTGCCAATGACATTGTCATGACAATATCACAAATTCATTAACATTGGTAATGACAGTGAGATTACTGCAATGTCATTTTTCTAACATTGACATTGTCACGTGACATTTCATGACAATGTCATTTTTCTAACATTGACATTGTCATGACAATTTCATTGACATTGTCACGTGACATTTCACGACAATGTCACCGCCCGCCTAGCGCCTAGCGCCTTTTAGAACACTGGTTATATATGTTTGGTTCCACTTTCATTGTTATTCTTATGACATTGTCATTAACATTCTTATGACATTGTCCTTGACATTCTTATGACATTGTCATTGACATTCTTATGACATTGTCACTGACATTGTAACATTTTTCTACACCTTTGGAAATGACATTGTCACACACATTGGCATTGGCAATATTACAATGTCATCATTTATAGCATTGACATTGTGACAGTTTTGTGACATTTTGATATTTTTCCGACATTGTCAACTTTTTCGACATTCTGGACTTTATTGCATTTTGATCAGCAATGACTTAAAATATCATATTACATCACATCATTTTGATATGTAGATGACAATGTCATTGACTTTGTTATGCATTGACATTGTAATGTCATTGACTTTGTTATGCATTGACATTGTAATGTCATTGACATTGTGAGTGACATTGTTTTTCATTGACATTCTTATGTCATTGTTTTTCATTCTAAAATTACTTTAGTATGAAGGAATATTTTTGTCAAAATAAACAATGACTACTTTCTAAAAATCAATCTAATCGGATGAATATGTAAAATAAAACAAAACAAAAAAGTAAACAAGCAAAAATATACGATTCCGGCGAGAACCAGCGCCAACAGAGCAATTCAAAGAGACGATTTCTTTTTCTTCCCTCTCTTCCGATTGAGCGGTCTACTTTTAAAATTCCGAGTTTGGGCTTTGCCTCCTATCTTCAGCGACTTCACTGCGCGTAGATGATAGCTTCCCACTATCAATTTACCCAGGATCAGGTTAGCATGCGAAATCAATTTAGGGGCTTCCCTTCCCCAAGTTTGATGGAATTTCCTCCGCAGTCGAGCGACTCGAACCTGATACTTTGGCCGTAACAGACTCACGAGCTCAGTAGTCCCCTGCTGGTGATTCGGTGCCTCGCCGACAACACCAACCCGTTAGGTCTCGCACCATAGATTGACCACTGAAGGCCGAGTCAACTAATTATAGTGGGGGTATTTTTGTCCCTTCATATGAATTAGTCCTATTTGAGAGTTAAAAAGTTGCAACTCCTATTTAAATACCATCCATATGTTTTAGTCGTATGCATTTCTTTCTCCCTTCTTATACCAACCCTATCTAAAATATACATTAATTTACGTGCATGTCTAAATACTTTTCACATATGCGCGCACACATATTTGATACAACGTAAAGAACACATATGCATATATATATGCATGAAAAATAATATTTTTTGCAGATATTAGTTGTCAATGACAAGATATATCTTGGTAAATATACTTTGTTTTTAGAAAATGTGGGTAAGAAATGTGTGCACCACCAAGTAGTATTATTGTAAAACTCATACTTTTGTTACTCCTAATTTGAATCTTGCCCCAAGTGAATGAGTAAATGTATCATTGACTAATTGAAGGGTTTAATTTAAAGTGTTACTTTTACAATAATCTTCAAAAATAAGGATGAAAATTGTGTCTGCCACAATAATAAAAATCTATAAGAAAATAGTTTAAAGAACAAAATCAATAATATCATCCACACAACAGTGAGATGACTAGAGTAATAAAAGGAATTCCGAATATACTAATTAAAGATGGTCCAAAAGAAAAAATTGATAAATATTATCATATGAACTTTATTCAAATTTTGTAATATCTCTTTCAAATTACTTTCAAAAAAATATCTCTTTTAATTAGTATTAAACCAAATCAAATAAACTATAAAAAGTTAAGGTGAATTAAAAATTCTAAAAACTATTTATGTACTTTACCCGAGTAATATTTGTGAGAATGATTATCAAGCTTAACCAATGTGGTAGCCATGACAGATGTATATATAATAAATAAGAGTCATAATTACGATAGGAGTCCCACAATATTAATAAATATTAAAATACGCCATTACACCCCCTCAAGCTGTGCAGGGGAAACAATGTGCAGATTGTCACGAAGAAGAATAAAACGTTGTGGAGACAAACACTTTGTAAAAATATCTGCCAGTTGAACCTACGTCGGAGCATACTTGACACACAAATCACCATGCGTCACCCGCTCACGAAAAAAATGATAATCAATATGAATATGCATACCCCAACATGCTGAATAGGATTAACTGAGAGATGGGAGGCAGACACATTGTCACAAAAATACAAAACAGTGTAGTAGGCTCTCGAACAGGGAAGCCTAGCTCGAACAAAATGGACCGGATGTGAAGAGTATCCAGAACAGTGAAAGCCACGGCCCGATATTCAGCTTTAGTGGATGACCAAAAGACTGTAGGCTGCTTCTTGGGCTTTCGAAAAATTAAATTCGGATCAAGAAAAATAGCATAACCAGAGGTAGACCGACCAGTATCAGGGCAACCGGCCCAATCAGCATCAGAATAACTGATGACTGCCCGCAGCTCCCTTGAGTGC